ACTGAAGACTTGTTTATCTTTTTATCCCATCGAGAAATGAGAAAGGGGTTAAAAAAATCGATCGATATTTTATCATCGTCTTCGACTTCTTAGTCACTGCCTACCGGTCACCAGGTTCAATATCCGTTGATCAAGTTGCGCCAATAATGGACAATAGCAAAGGAGTATCGATTTGATACTTGAAAAATGTTCGAGGCATTTCATGCCGAATTTCTGAGGGGAGTTATTTCGTTTCAATTACTGCAAAAATTGAAATATCCTTTGCTCAATATTAAACAATAACTACCTGTTTCTGAAGCTATGGGCAGGTCTTATTAAATAAATACCTGATATCATTCATTCATTTATTGCGTTATCGCATTTTGTGCCACTATGGCCCTCATTGCCTTCGATCTCACAATTGTGGTTCTTAATGACATTCAAGACAGAATAGTCTAATGACTTGCCGATTCCATTTGGCAGCGGGGATGTTGAGGTTATCCATCTCCGAACCAAGACCTACAAGACAGCAGGTGGTTTGAATTCGAAATTTTCCTGTTGATGCTATATGGAGGCTGTGCGCTGCCTGTTTTTACATGCCACACGCCTCTCAGTCGTACCTACGCGTTCCAAAAGAATCTGTGCATTACATTTAGGTAATTGTCAGTATTCGTCTGCATTTATTTCCATAACTTTTTTCCGTGTTTTGAATAGAAGCGCAAGATAGCAGAGATTTAAAATCACGGTTTTCCTTAAACTAGATGAACCCAAGGTAGCGTGGTGTTAAAATCACGTTTTTCTTTATCCTACATGGACTACTTTCTTCGGCTGCCGTGGTCTATCTACCCGAAACAACTGGTTATTATTTTCCGCCTTCGCCTATTCTCTGGTTTGGAGATGGACTTAATTGTCAAAGCCTATTTGAGACGCATGCCACGGAAGCATTTCATAGACAGTGGCAGCTGTCCCCACAAACATCATCGCCAATGGCACCCTTTTGAATATAATGTACGTATATATCGTATTTTCCGGCTTACAAGACGCTGCGGCTTGAAAGACCCACCCTGATAGTGGAAATAAATCTCTAAGAAAAGTCATTCTCATACAACAACACATTCACCATGCATCCCTCACATACTGTCGCCACGTATTGTTTACATTAATCACTCTTCCGATTTTGTTTTTATGGCAATGACATACTAGTCAAGAACAGAAAGTCTCCTGCCGCTGCTAGTAAACAGAGCATGTTTAAGCTTGTGGCTCAGCTCCAGGAAGGTTTATAGTCCTGGAAATACTTGTAACAGCTAAATACTGAGGTTATGTCATATAAAAGGCTGAATTAGATAGCTAACATTATAGTGTACTGACTCAACATACAAATCCACGTCCCTATCAGTCAAGCCAATTGGGTGAGTGTCCAATCTTACTTGAGTCTGGACGTTGCCTTATATTCGTCTTGGAACACGTACACGTATTTTTAGGGTTTTTTAGGGAAAAAATCTTGTAAGCCTGAAAATATGGTAAATATTTGTATACATTACATCTTTTTGATGCCCGAAAATAAATTTTTTTTTTTAAATATATAAAATGTTAGTTAAACAAAAAAAAACAAAAAAAAAACTACAAAGCAAGACAAATTACGAAATAGTCGTATATAAATAAAAAAAGAAACACGAAATGTTTGCTAACTCCAGAAAAAGATGGCGAAAAACTGAAAATATATATGGTGATTTTAATCTAAAATACTCGGAGATTATGAAGTCATTATTTATCATACAATGAAATCATTTATACTGCATTTTTGACAGTACTAACACCTAAACTATTAATTGATAAAAATTAATGCTAGTAGAAATTGCAAAGTTGATAAATATAACTTTAGGCAAGCAAAAACAAAAAGTAAAAATAAGACAAACGATCTTCAGATTAGTTGTACAAATAAAGAAAAACCCAGTAACTGTGGAAAAAGTTTAAAGAAATAATAATAAGCAATACATATTGTAATGACAAAAGTACGAAGGTGTAGGTGTTATGAAAACTTTATCAACAGAGAATGCAAGGTTCATGTATATTGTCCTTTTATAGTCCCAGTATACAAAAATAGCTCTCTCAGAGTGGAGAGTAACAAAACAAAGGGAGACCATACTTGATTATTCATAACAAATATATAACGTCAAGTCAATATAATAATCATAATATATATATGATAAATAAAATAAAATAAGATAAATAATAATTGTAAATTATATTAAATTATTATATTACTTTAAAAAAAAATAAAGAAGGAAATTTTTCATTTTTTAGTTAAAATTAAGATCCGTTAATTTTGGGGAGCATTGACAAAACGTCCCACTTTTCCTTGAGTTCAGAACGAAGATGAGTGCATATAGATTATTATTATTATTATTATTATTATTATTATTATTATTATTATTATTATTATTATTATTATTATTTCATTTCCTTCCGAGTCCCAACCAGAGACTTAAGATCAGAAAAGCTATCATATTTTTTAGTAATGATCTGTTGACCTAAGGACACACACATTTTAAATCGATAAAGCCCTTCTTAAGGTGTGAGCGATACTTTTACGAACTACTCTTTTGTATTTCTTCAATGTATGGATCACAGGTGATCCTTCAATCATTTTATAAGAACATTTTCTAATCAAACCGAGGACACAAAACACAACTGTAATTATGGATGTCTTCTTGCGCCACAATTTTGAGATTTCCACTTCAAGATCCTTGTATTTTGATAGTTTTTGAAGATCTTCAAAGACATTACAATCCTACACGCAAGCTGCTAGTGGCTACTATTGGAAGCCACCGGTGGGCCTCTAGCGGTCCGCCAGTGATCTACACTGCCGAGACGAAGACGCCAGCGGTCCGACAGAGGGCTGCTAGTGGTAAACACTAGTGGCATGCTATCCAGTGGCAAATTGGTGTCTTGCGTGTAGGGAATATGCAGGCATTACCATATCAATAAGGAAGCACATATTGTCTTTGCGGTCTCTAATCACGATGTCTGGCCGATTAGATTTGATTGTTCTGTCTTGTAAAGTACCAAAAAATTGTTACAGGCCTCTGTCTGTAACGGGGCCTGGGTGCTGTTCGTGCCAATTTCTTGCTTTTTGCTTCCTGTAAAAGTTGCAGACTTTTCAGTGCAGATATTGGCCCATCCAGTCATTTTATATTTGATGGATGCTAAAAGTATGGAAGCTGATAAAAAGATGGTCGATTTTTTCTGGATATTAACACAGTATCGGTTAACAATTTTTCACCTTCAAAACTCGTGACGACTATAGATTGGCAGCTGATATCTTTCCCGATCTAGCTCTAACATCATAATCGGCGGGGGGGGACTGGCCCGATTGCATTCAATGTCTCGAAAATCAAACTAGTTACATTCCATCATCGTTGATCGGGCTCTGAACAAACAGCAGGCAGGTTTCGTGTCGTGAACGACTATTAGACGTCAAACTCAATTCAGACCTCACTTGTGACTCATACATACGATCCATCGCTAAAGATTCTGGGGAAATGGTCAGTTCTCTACACCTCTCCGGTATGTACCTGACTTCTAATGGTATCCTCTACCTTTACAAGAGTCAAATCAGGCCGAGAATGGAGTACTGAAGTCATATTCGGGTAGGAGTTGCTCAGTCCTCACATTCCAGTCTTGATACAGCCTCTTCGCATCCTTGTGGGTGATAAATTATTTTCCACCCTGCTACTTACTGCTCTATCGATATTTCCATGGAAAGTGCTCGGACGAACGACATTTCTTGGTTCCGTCATGCCAAATCTTCACGGCTAAGACCCGCCATGCCACTTATATTGTAGCAAACCATTCCGTATTCCTTTGGTGAGAAGTTAGTTCCACTCGAACAGCTTCTTATTGCGAACCACTGCCCTGTGGAACCGACTCCCAAGAGGATGTATCCCCGATCGCTACAATCTTAACCTGTTTAAGTTTAGAGTTAACCGTTATCTCATCATCCTATCCGTATAAACTTCCTCTTAACGTAACCCTCTACCCCGAGTGATCCTCGGGCTTTGTACAGTGTGAACCTTACTGTAAAAAAATATCCTTTATTATTCAAGATGGTTGAAATTTAAAAAAAAAGAGGCAATAAAAAAGAGAGGAAGAACGTATAAGAGTTTCCATGTGAAGGAAAAAAGAAAAAAAAAAGAAAAGATTTTAAAACTATTGAATAAGATTTTAAAATTACCAGGAAGCTTAAGACCAGATGGACTGACTGCAAATTGGAAACGAGTGATAAAAAACAATTGTTTATTCATTTAATATTTTTGCTTGTGTTGTTCTGTTGTTAGCATTTGGCCTGAAGCTCCCGATTTCTGTAAACAATTAGGGAGAAAATTGGGACGGCGGGAAAGTTTAAGGGGAAAAAATAAACTTAAAAAATAAATAAATATGTTGATGTGTTTCCCTTTTTTTCAGTTGGCAAAATTGTTGGGTATTTGAAAAATATATTTTAAAATGACTGACAAATTATATTAAAAATGAACCCAAATATGATTTTACAAGCATTATAAAATTGTGAATGATTTTATTGTCTATCTGTGGTATTTTTATGTTTATTTTCTATTTCTATTTATTTTTTTGTTTTATGCTTTTATTTTCATTTAAATTTTTTTATCTTAATTTTATTTTTCTGTTTATTCTATTTTATCATTAGTGTATCTTCTTCTTCTTCATTGTCTTCTTCGTCTTCATCATCGTCTTTTCCATATTCTCTACACCTTCTCCCTCTTTTTCTTCGTCTTCTTCTTCTCCATATTCCACTTGTTCTTATCTTTTTTAGCTTTCTTCTTCTTCTACATTTCTTCTTCTTCTACATTTCTTCTTTTTCTTCTTTTTCTTCTTTTTCTTCTTCTTCTTCTTACTCCTCCTCCTCTTCCATATTTTTATTCCCTTCAGGGAAGAACAAAAATGTTAATTGCTACGTATTCGTTTATCGGCTTCAAATCATCATCATCATCATCATCATCATCATCATCATCATCATCATCATCATCATCATCAAAGCATCATCATCATCATCATCATCATCATCATCATAATCATCAAAGCATATTTCTTGTCATCATTCTTGTTTTTCATTGCATTTTTGTGTTTTTTTTTCTTTTTTAAAAATGGTGTTTCTTTACCCTTCTTAACTTAGAATGGTACTGTTAAAATAAAATAATTTTAAGTGATTTAAAACATTTTTAAAATAAAAAACAGGCTTTCACTTCTGCTCTAATTGTAGACTTTAATGAAAAAATAAAATCGAGACAAAAAATCCAAATATTCTTTAAATTGCACGAAAATTCAATATGACGAGATTAGCGTTATAATTTTTGGTAGTTGTAGGGTCAAGTGAAAAAGAGAGAGCAAATAATGGAGAATAAAAAAAAAGTAGATGGTAATAAAGCGAAGAGAAAACAATAAAGAAAAGTATTTTGGGAGGCAAGAAAGTCCGACCAAAAATGGTCAAAATGGCTGTTAAGAATCATTTTCTAGAAATGTTCAAGTGGGATTTCCTGCCTATTCGCTGAAAGGTTTCAGTAATGGGGAAGATTCACAAAGAAAATTGACAGGAAAATAGGCGATGGCTGGAAAATATGTGTGGAAATTGTGAAGAAAGATAGAAAGAAAGAATAAATAGACCAGATGACATGGCTATGGCTTTCAACGAAAGAAAGAAAGAAAGAAAGAAAGAAAGAAAGAAAGAAAGAAAGAAAGAAAGAAGAATAAAGAAAGAAAGAGAGAAAGAGAGAAAACAGATCAGATGATACTGCTATGAACTACGAAGAAAGAAAGAAAGAAAGAAAGAAAGAAAGAAAAAGAAAGAAAGAAAAAGGAAAAAGAAATAAAACAAATCAGATGATACTGCTATGAATTACGAAGAAATAAATATAAAGGAAGAAGAAAAAAAGAAAATTGATGAGATGATACTGCTATGAATTAGAAAAAGAAAGAAAGAAAGACAGAAAGAAAAAGGAAAAAGAAAGAAAATAGAACAGATGATACTGCTGGAAAGAAAGAAAAAAGAAAGAAAGAAAGAAAGAAAATAGGAAAGAAAAAGGCACATAAAGAACGAAAGAAAGCAAGAAATAACGAAAGAACGAACAAGTAAAAGAAAGAAATAAAAGTAGATCAGATGACAAAACTGCTAACGAAGAATGAAAGAAAAAAGAAAGAAAAATGATTAGATGACACAATTATAATTTACAAAAGCAGAAAGAGAGAGATCGAACGAAAGAAAGATCGAAAATAGATCAAATCTGTGACTTACAAAGAAAGAAAGAAAGAACGAAAGAAAGAAAAGAATCAGATGGCACAGCAATAAGTTAAGAAGAAAGAAAGAAAGAAAGAAAGAAAGAAAGAAAAATTACCAGATGACACAATTACGACTTTCAAAGAAAGAAAGAGATGAAACGAACAAACGAAATTAAATAATACAAAGAAACAAAGACATCAGATAACACAACTATGATTTATGAAAAAAAAAGAAAGAAAGAAGAGTAGAAAAATGATGAAATGACAAAACTACGATTTACAAAGAAAGAAAGAAAGAAAGAAAGAAAGAAAGAAAGAAAGAAAGAAAGAAAGGGAAATGATAAAATGACATAATTATGATTTACAAAGAAAGAAAGAAAGAAAGAAAGAAAGAAAGAAAGAAAGAAAGAAAGGGAAATGATAAAATGACATAATTATGATTTACAAAGAAAGAAAGAAAGAAAGAAAGAAAGAAAGAAAGAAAGAAAGAAAGAAATTAAAGAAAGAAAGAAAGAAAAATGATCAAATGACAAAACTACGATTTACAAAGAAAGAAAGAAAGAAAGAAAGAAAGAAAGAAAGAAAGAAAGAAAGAAAAGAAAAAGAAAGGAAAATGATAAAAATCATAATTATGATTTACAAAGAAAGAAAGAAAAGAAAAAAGAAAAAAAAGAAAGAAAGAAAGGGAAATGATAAAATGACATAATTATGATTTACAGAGAAAGAAAGAAAGAAAGAAAGAAAGAAAGAAAGAAAGAAAAGAAAAGGAAAATGACATAATTATGATTTAAGAAAGAAAGAAAGAAAGAAAAAGAAAGAAAGAAAGAAAGAAAGAAAAAAGAAAGGGAAATGATAAAATGACATAATTATGATTTACAAAGAAAGAAAGAAAGAAAGAAAGAAAGAATGAAAGAGAAATGATAAAATGACATAATTATGATTTACAAAGAAAGAAAGAAAGAAAGAAAGAAAGAATGGAAGAAAAATGATCAAATGACAAAACTACGATTTACAAAGAAAGAAAGAAAGAAAGAGAAATGATCAAATGACATAATTATGATTTACAAAGAAAGAAAGAGAAAGGAACGCACGAAAGAAAAGAATAGAAGAAAGATTAAAAAGAAAGAAACAATAAAGAAAACAGATCAGGTGACACAGCTTATATGACTTAGGAAGAAAGAAAGAATGAACAGATGATACAATTACGATTGATAGAAAAAAAAGAAAGGTCATCCGATGATCCGATCAATTTCTACCCCAAATCCCAATTCATATGCGCCATTTTTCCCCAATGTCGCTTGATGTTAGATTAAGGGAGAAGTCGTTTTACTTCGAAGTGCCACACAAATACCCCATCATCAGTATTTCTGTCAGGTTCTGTCAGGTTTTTAGATCGAATCCCACCGGGAACGAACTTATTTCTGTTCCTTTTTCTCATCTGAACAAATCGTCTCAACTTTAAAAATCAAATCAAATCATTGCCTTTCCCTCTTGACATAATTAAATTGATTAAAGAATCAAATTTTATTGCCTTTTTTTTTCATATTTATTTATTTAATTGAAAGGTGTGAGAATGAAATTGAAATTCAGTAACTTTCATTTTTGCATAATTTTTTTTCAATTTCATTTCAATATATTTTTTAGGAAAATCATTTTCTGAAACTAGTCACGATAAAATTCGTTCCCTCGTGAAGGACATTTGTGGTGTCAAATCAGTTGACTGAAATAGGCACAAGAAATTAAGTTTCCATTATTATTATTATTATCATTATTATTATTATTATTATTATTATTATTATTATTATTAATGTACGATATCATCTAGCCAGAGAGTAATTTTAAGTGCCTAATTAGCAAATCCCCATTCCGGAGTCTAAGAGTAAAAAGGTCCATTGTAAGAGAGTTATCTATGCATATTAGAGACGTTTCGTTTAGATGGAGAGGATTTTGTGGATGACAGTTCCGCACAAAATAATCTTTTGTCACTCTGAGATTCTGCTCTGTCCAGGAATTTTACTTACATGATTTTCGGTGCTTTTCTTTATCATACCCAATGCCTCTATCACAACAGGGATAATCGTAGTTTTAGGTTTGCACATTTTTTGTTAATCGATTTGCAAATCCTTATAATTTGACAGATTTTGAAATACATTTTTTTAGAAACATGGAATCCTGTAGGCAAATCATATCAATTAGCAGGCTCCTTTTTTTTTCAATCTTTTATGACTATGATTGGTCTTCTTTCATCAATTGTTCTGTTTGTGAGGATTAGGAAATTCCTCAGTATAGACACACATTAACCATTTATGACATCATTCGAGTGGTGTTTGTACGGTGTATCCGGGACTTACTTCAATAACATGGTTCGAACAAATATGCCAATATGTTGGTCTAACCTGTCCTGTCTATTATTATTATTATTATTATTATTATTATTATTATTATTGTTGTTGTTGTTGTTGTTGTTTTTATTTCCTTTGATTTCTGGCGTTTACACATTTCTTTCCGGGTCCCGCCCAGGGACCTAAGGTTAGAAATTGCATCATGACACTTTCCACTGACAAAAAAAAAATTACATAGATAAAGCCCTTCGTAAAGTGTGGGCTGTACTTGTCAGTACAATTTTTTGTATTTCTTTGAGGCATGGACTTCCAGGAATCCCTTCAATTAGTCTACTGAAATCTTTTCAAACCAATCCTAGGGCTCGAACTACAACAGGGATTGTTGATGTTCCCATACGCCACATTTTTGAGATTTCTATTTCAAGGTCCTTGTATTTTGACAGCTCTTTGAATATCTTCAAATATACATTGCAGTCAGAAGGGACTGCCATATCAATAAAGAGGCACTTTTTTGGTTGAGGTCTTTAATAACAATGTCTGGGCGGTTGGCTTTGATTGTTCTGTCAGTGTGTATTGTATTGTAACAGGCCTATATTATTATTATTATTATTATTATTATTATTATTATTATTATTATTATTATTATTTCCTTTGATTTCTGCTGTATCCACATTTACTTCAGGTCCCCAACCAGAAGCCTAAGGTCAGAATTTTACACTGAATACTTTTATATAAAAAAAACAAACTAAGATCACATACATTTTACATAGATAAAGTTCTTAAGCTTCAGCTGTACTTGTGAGTACGCCATTTTATATTTGTTGAAAGCATGGGCTACAAGGAATCCCTTCAATGAGTCTATCGGGACCTTTTCCAATCAATCCGATGACTCCAACCAGAACTGGAATTATTGATGACTTCACGTGCCATATTTCTTTTTAGATTTCCACTTCAAGATCCTTATATTATGATAGTTCTTTGAAGATCTTCAAACATACATTACAATCTGCAGAAAATGTCCTGTCAATAAGAAAGCATATTCTGTTTTTGTGGTCTTTGATCACGATGTCTGGCCGATTAGCTTTGATTGTTTTGCCTAAATCCCATAAAATTGCTACAGATCCTATCTCGAGTTTCTTGCTGTTTCCTTTCCGTAAACGTTGAATATTTTCCAGTGTAGATATTGGCCCATTCTACCACGCTGTGGTTGATAGTCAGTGGATGATAACACCGTGCAGAGGGTCAACTGTTTCTGGATATTTATCACAGAACCTGCATTTTGTATTAACACAATTTTGCAGCACGTCTGCTTGGTAATTTCTAGCTAGCAAGCATTGGCACTGTGCAGCAAGAATAAAATATTCGGTTTCAGCTTTTAACCCTGCACTACGTAGCCACTGATGTCTACATTTAAATCACATTGAAATTAACTAATTATATCATTATCTATTAGTAGCCCTTTATATCTAAGCTTACATAAAACTACTTGTATTAATCCGTAACGATTTTCAAAATAGCAATATACATGTCTTAGGCATTCTTTTTCGTTCTTTTTTTTATTTAATTTTATTCTATGTCCACACCTTGATTCCATGGACACATTTACACCCTTACAGCGATCTCATTCAGTAGCACTCTACCTTGAGTGGCTCTTGTTATCTGTATTGGTATAATAGTATAAAATAAATATAAGAAATGCCATGATGTATTGAGAAAATTACTGGAGTGAGATTCCATTGCCCTTACTACAGTTTTGAATTCAGAGTATTCTTTCTCCTAGACTGGTCGCCACCCAAGCCTAAAGAATCTAGTCTGCTCTTCTGGATGGAGATGGATTCAGGCCTTTCTCAAGGACATTAGTGCGAAGTGGACAAAACCAACTCGGTTACAATTTGAACTCTCAGTATATATATATATATATATATATATATATATATATATATATATATTTATATATTTATATATTAATCTTTCATTTATGCATGTTTCATTAACAACGACAGACAAGGTACTACGGTTAAGCTTTTTATTTATTTTTCTTGTGTTTGAACAAGAGCTTTTCTGGACAGTGTGTGTAAAACTGTCCAAATGTTTTATAGTTCCGAGCGCTTTCACCTATACCTTTTTAGCCATTTTTCAAGGATGATTCGATTTTTTTAAATTAATTGAGTGTGTGCATTATGTTATGTGTATGTCTTAGTGGGTAGTAGGGATGTTTTTTTAATTTCCGAATACGGTTAGTCATTTTGGCCCTGTTCCTAATTAATATAGAGTTGGCTTTTCTTTTATTGTTAAAGCTTCCATTATTTTAATCTTTTTTTACTTATTTTATTTTTTATTATTAAATTTTTTATTATTTATAATATATATATATATATATATATATATATATATATATATATATATATATATAGGCAGATTTTGTAGCTTTCGAAAAGTCTGTTTTATACTAAGTTGGTTAATATATTTTTTTTAAATTTAATGGAATGGAGCCGAGTACCACAATTACAACCGGGGTGACTTTAATATTTTCCACAATTTACCAATTTCAGCGTTCATTTAAGATTTTTCTATTTGTTTTGCTGTTATCTTGTAGTCAATTATTCGGCCTTCATTTTCACCCAAATAAAGATAATAATAATAATTAGTAGTAGTAATAATATTAGTAGTAGTAATAGTAGTATCGAGAGAAGAAGCAGTAAACCAACTGGGTGAGTGTATAATATACCCATTATGACGCCTAGACTAATAAGTGTATATCAGATACATCCATCATAGCCAAATCTGTGCGATATGGTGACATGTTTTTGTAAAATCAGCGCGTAACTTTGCAAATGAGCCCAGTTAGAAATAAATTCAGGTCAGCCTACCAAATCCGCTCAGACAAAATAACTGTACCCTTAATTGTCTGGATGTGACTACGAAGTTGCCTCAGCTGCCTCAAGGTTAGAAAACAAAAAGCCCAACACTATCAACAGCCGGTCATTGTACTCAACCAAAGGAAGAAGCTCTAGACGGCATACCCAACTGGTTATGGTCAAGCAATTAACAGGCACAACTGTGCTACTGGTATTTACTGCGGTACATTTAAAAAAAAAAGAAGTTTGTTGACCATGTTCACCATAGTCTATGAATATAGATTACAGCGCAGTACGTAATCTGTTCAATGAAACAACGTTAAAGATTAACACTCACGAGTCAGACACTCTACTGAATCTGACTATATCGGCAATACCACCAGCAGCTGTACCGTAATTCTCCAGTCTTCGATATCAAAGGCTGGCAGTGCATATTCGAGGAAAAAAAAACATGGCCGCCTTTATTCACGTCGCATTGAATATTTTGAGCCTTCTGATTGGTTAACCCTTTCTACATTTACTAAAATAAAAATACCTTATAAATACATGTTAATATCCCTAGATAAGATCAAAGACCATGGGAATCATATCTGGTGTACAATCAGCACATTTATTATTATTATTATTATTATTATTATTATTATTATTATTTCCCTTGATTTCTGGTATGTACTCATTTCTTTCCGCCCAGAGACCTTAGGTCAGAAATGGACGTTTTCCACTGAGCAATTAAAAAAAAATGTATTTTACATAGCTAAAGTCCTTCGTAATGTATGGCCTGTACTCCTGAGAATATACAGGGTGTTTCAAAAAATTTGATATCCTTTGAGATGTAAATATCACAGAAAGTACATGATTAAGGCAAATGAAATTAAAAAGTATTAATGTTGAAGATCATAAGATTTATTCTTCCAAATCTGGATGAGAAATTCAAAAGCATGTGGATTATGTGAACGATTTCACAAATGTTCAATATGCGCACGGCCTGAGACACGGCATTTTTATACCTGTAAAGAAAAAGATTCAAGATTAA